AGAATTGAACTAGAACTGACTAGAACTGAACTAGAACTGAACTAGAACTGAACTAGAACTGAACTAGAACTGAACTAGAACTGAACTAGAACTGAACTAGAACTGAACTAGAACTGAACTAGAACTGAACTAGAACTGAACTAACTGAACTAGAACTGAACTAGAACTGAACTAGAACTGAACTAGAACTGAACTAGAACTGAACTAGAACTGAACTAGAACTGAACTAGAACTGACTAGAACTGAACTAGAACGGAACTAGTAAGCTAGAACTGAACTAGAACTGAACCTAGGAAGTAACTAGAACCTAGAACTAGAACTGAACTAGAACTGAACCAGAATTGAACTAGAACTGAACTAGAACTGAACTAGAACTGAACTAGAACTGACTAGAACTGAACTAGAACTGAACTAGAACTGAACTAGAACTGAACTAGAACTGAACTAGAACTGAACTAGAACTGAACTAGAACTGAACTAGAACTGAACTAGAACTGAACTAGAAACTGAACTAGAACTGAACTAGAACTGACTAGAACTGAACTAGAACTGAACTAGACTGAACTAGAACTGAAATGGAACTGAACTAGAACTGAACTAGAAGTGAACTAGAACTGAACTAGAACTGAACTAGAACTGAAACTAGAACTGAACTAGAACTGAACTAGAACTGAACTAGAACTGAACTAGAACTGAACTAGAACTGAACTAGAACTGAAACTAGAAATGAACTAGAACTGAACTAGAACTGAACTAGAACTGAACTAGAACTGAACTAGAACTGAACTAGAACTGTTTATGGTTTCTTTAATTTATGAGTTCAATACCTAGATAGTCGCCTTGACTGCAATAACTTTGTATAATTTGTTAATTAAAATGAATGGGAGACCAGAAAATAAACCATAATCCGCATAAACATACAACTTATTTTAGAATTTTACACAACATTACTACGATTTTAATCTTAAAGTAATTATACTTAAAAACCTACACTTTTAAATTTGGGTTTGACAATTTAGTTCAAAAGCTAATTAGAGAGTAATGTGTACATTTTGAGAATAAAGACAAAATGTAATTTTAAACAACATAATTTATACTTTAAATTTTTTTCTTTAAATCCACTGGCCATTAGACATAATAGAAATAATAAAAAGTTTAATAAATAAAACCGAAATATATTTACAACAATTTTAAAAGCCCAGTAGTAAATTATAGTTGTAAATAAACTTGTAACATTGTAACAAATTTTTGAAAAAGGAAAAGCCAAAAGTAAATAAAAATAAACATAAATAGAAACAATAAAAAATGTAAAAAATCAGTCAAAACTAACCTGATTTGGTTGTGGTGGATAACCGGCAGCATTGACCATTTGTTGTGAGGCATAAATAGAATGTTGTTGCTGCTGCTGATGTTGAGACGGTTGCTGTGGTTGTTGCTGCTGTTGCAGCTGTTGGGGAGCATGATATTGTGTTTGACCTGGTGCTGGTGGTGGTTGTTGCATTTGTTGTGTTGGCTGTTGTTGTTGCTGCTGCATGCCACCATTCTGAGTTGGCCCATTACCAGTATGACCATATAGAGCTTGTTGTTGCTGCTGCTGTTGTTGCTGTAGCATTTGTTGTTGTGGCTGGGGAGCCGGGGGAGCACTAAGGGAATTCCTTTAGTGTTTTAATGTTTGTAGGTAAAATAATATTTTTGTTTGTTTGCGAATTTGTTTTTTTTTAGTTTTTTTTTTAAACAAATGTATAAAATTTTGAGCCAATTTATGTTTTACGAGGCAAATGGAAAAATATGGGGAGTGTGTAAGTGACAGTGAGAATGAGTGATATTACCAACAAGGACACAGAATTAAAATTAAGACAGATAACAAACAATTTTGAAAAATAAATAAAGAAAACAAGGAATTTTTTTAAAGTAAAAAGGAAACAGGAAAATGATTTGTTATTTTATGGGATGGTTAGTTTAGTGTTTACAAAGTGTGTATGTGTGTGTGTGTGTTTCAAGTGTTTACACATGTGTTGAAGTTACAATTACAAAAGTGTTAAAGGTGTTGACAGTTGTTTGTTTTTTTTTTTTTATTAAATTTGAAGTTGACATTAGTAGGCAAGCGTTGTTTTTGATTTTGAAATATTTGTTGGGTTGATTTGATTGATTGATTTGTTTGATAGTTTAATTTAGCAAATGACAAGTTTTACATTAAAATGGCATTTAGATGACGTTGAACATTGTTGAGATTTAAACACAAATTTATCAACAAAAAGAAAGTAAGAAAAAAACAGAAAAAAATACGAAAAAAACATATAAATAAAAGAAGAAGAAATGCATTCTAGTTGAGTACAAATTATAGAAGTACATGGTAAATATATCTAAGAAATAAACAACTAGCAATTACAACATTAATAACATTTAGTTTTAATACAAGGAGAGATGAAAATAATGGAAACATGTTTTTAATCTTTATTTTTAAAACTTGGTCTAACTTAGACCACAATTCAGTTGTTCTTTAGTCCAGTTCTAGTTCAGTTCTAGTTCAGTTCTTGTTAAGTTCTAGTTCAGTTCTAATTCAGTTCTAGTTCAGTTCTAGTTCAGTTCTAGTTCAGTTCTAGTTCAGTTCTAGTTCAGTTCTAGTTCAGTTCTAGTTCAGTTCTAGTTCAGTTCTAGTTCAGTTCTAGTTCAGTTCTAGTTCAGTTCTAGTTCAGTTCTAGTTCAGTTCTAGTTCAGTTCTAGTTCAGTTCTAGTTCAGTTCTAGTTCAGTTCTAGTTCAGTTCTAGTTCTGTTCTAGTTCTTTTCTAGTTCTGTTCTAGTTCTGTTCTAGTTCTGTTCTAGTTCTGTTCTAGTTCTGTTCTAGTTCTGTTCTAGTTCTGTTCTAGTTCTAGTTCAGTTTAGTTCAGTTCTAGTTCAGTTCTAGTTCAGTTCTAGTTCAGTTCTAGTTCAGTTCTAGTTCAGTTCTAGTTCAGTTCTAGTTCAGTTCTAGTTCAGTTCTAGTTCAGTTCTAGTTCAGTTCTAGTTCAGTTCTAGTTCAGTTCTAGTTCAGTTCTAGTTCAGTTCTAGTTCAGTTCTAGTTCTGTTCTAGTTCTGTTCTAGTTCTGTTCTAGTTCTGTTCTAGTTCTGTTCTAGTTCTGTTCTAGTTCTGTTCTAGTTCTGTTCTAGTTCTGTTCTAGTTCTGTTCTAGTTCTGTTCTAGTTCTGTTCTAGTTCTGTTCTAGTTCTGTTCTAGTTCTGTTCTAGTTCTGTTCTAGTTCAGTTCTAATTCAGTTCTAGTTCAGTTCTATTTCAGTTCTAGTTCAGTTCTAGTTCAGTTCTAGTTCAGTTCTAGTTCAGTTCTAGTTCTGTTCTAGTTCTGTTCTAGTTCTGTTCTAGTTCTGTTCTAGTTCTGTTCTAGTTCTGTTCTAGTTCTGTTCTAGTTCTGTTCTAGTTCATGTTCTAGTTCAGTTCTAATTCAGTTCTAGTTCAGTTCTATTCAGTTCTAGTTCAGTTCTAGTTCTGTTCTAGTTCTAGTTCTAGTTCTGTTCTAGTTCTGTTCTAGTTCTGTTCTAGTTCTGTTCTAGTTCTGTTCTAGTTCTGTTCTAGTTCTAGTTCTAGTTCTGTTCTAGTTCAGTTCTAGTTCAGTTCTAGTTCAGTTCTAGTTCAGTTCTAGTTCAGTTCTAGTTCAGTTCTAGTTCAGTTCTAGTTCAGTTCTAGTTCAGTTCTAGTTCAGTTCTAGTTCAGTTCTAGTTCAGTTCTAGTTCAGTTCTAGTTCAGTTCTAGTTCAGTTCTAGTTCAGTTCTAGTTCAGTTCTAGTTCAGTTCTAGTTCAGTTCTAGTTCAGTTCTAGTTCAGTTCTAGTTCAGTTCTAGTTCAGTTCTAGTTCAGTTCTAGTTCAGTTCTAGTTCAGTTCTAGTTCAGTTCTGGTTCTGTTCTGTTCTAGTTCTTTTCTAGTTCCGTTCTAGTTCTTATATGTTCTGTTCAAGTTCTGTTCTAGTTCTGCGCTAGTTCTGTTTTAGTTGTGTTCTATTTCTGATCTACTTTAGTTTTAGTTTCTTTTTAAAAAGAATCCATCATTTTTTCTCTACCTATAAATTGCTCAGACTTAATCTATTTTCCACTTCTTATTAATGGCTCAATTGGAATCTGATTACTAACCTGCTAGTACGATGATGACCCTGCTGTGGTGTCGGTGGGCTTTGTGGTATATTATTTTGATTTGTTTGTGAAGTTGGTGTTTGAGCCGATGGTGTTACCTGGCCGGTAATCTGTTGTTGTTGTCTTAAAATGGCAGCATCTTCACTGGTCATGGTGCGATAGCCCATATCCTCCTCATAGCTATTGCCATTCGTAGGCTGGCCAGGATTGTTGGGCACACGACCGCTGAGAACCTAATAAAATAGAATTTTACATTTTTGTTAAGTTTTTCCTTTTGTATTTGTTGACAACTTACATCTAATGCATGCATCATAGCCCGGGCAAATGCCTCAGCATCATTTTGACTGGAGAAATTTAGACCATAAACATATTTCGAATCGCGCCATTGATGAAATGTGGCAGTGGCTTGATTATATTTCAGTCCTTTTAAGATGGAACAATTAATTACAACTTCATGATCTTGTAATTTACGTCCCACCACACGAAATGTATTATTCTGTTGATGATGATAGATTTGGACCTTACTGAGACCTGATGAGGTGCCCGATGGTACCCATTTCTTTTGGTTATCATCGTAAACCATAACGGAGGCTCTAGCTCCGATAATACTTTGTTCACTGAAATGATAAATACAAATAATTTCAAAATTAATATAAATTTATTAACAAACTTGGAAAATGTTTACTGAAGTTATTAAAAAGAAATTGTTATAAAAATTGTTTTGTATTTAAAAAGGTTCATTGTACCATATAATTAATTAATTTTAATAACATATTGTTATTGTTTTAGTTGTTGCAAATTAATAATAGTTAAATTTAAACTTGTAGTTTTGTGTTTTTATTTAGTTTAACAAATTAAAAAATTTCAAAATGTTGGCAGAGGCCTGTTTTAAAAACTTGCGTTTTTTTATATCTGATAGCGAAATAGTTTATTAAGAAAATTAAACAAAAAAGAAAACAATTATAAATGAAAAACAACAACATTATAAACAATTAATTAAAGCTGCTTTAACTAATGAAATTTGAAATTGTTGAGCATTAAGAAAATTAAATTTTTTTACTATTAAAATTGTTTTATTTTTTTTTGATAAAGTTGTAAGAGTTATAATTATAAAAGCTGTATTTAATGAGAAACAGTTTGCCAAATTGTTAATTATCTACGCGGGTGTGATGACATACAAAAAATTTTAAATATAAAACTTTTAATAACAAAAGCTGTCACGCTATTAAGGCTGGTCAGGAGATTTCGTTTAGTAGACTCACCTAGGAGTGGATTTAATGGTCTAATTAAAGTATTAAATTAAAGTCTTTAAAGTTGTAAAGAAGACTAAGTTTAGTTCTCGCTCTAGTTCCGTTCTAGCTCAGTTCTAGTTCAGTTCTAGTTCAGTTCTAGTTCGGTTCTAGTTCAGTTCTAGTTCAGTTCTAGTTCAGTTCTAGTTCCGTTCTAGTTCAGTTCTAGTTCAGTTCTAGTTCAGTTCTAGTTCAGTTCTAGTTCAGTTCTAGTTCAGTTCTAGTTCAGTTCTAGTTCAGTTCTAGTTCAGTTCTAGTTCAGTTCTAGTTCAGTTCTAGTTCAGTTCTAGTTGAGTTCAGGTACAGTTCTAGTTCAGTTCTATTTCAGTTCTATTTCAGTTCTAGTTCAGTTCTAGTTCAGTTCTAGTTCAATTCTAGTTCAATTCTAGTTCAGTTTAGTTCAGTTCTAGTTCAGTTCTAGTTCAGTTCTAGTTCAGTTCTAGTTCAGTTCTAGTTCAGTTCTAGTTCAGTTCTAGTTCAGTTCTAGTTCAGTTCTAGTTCAGTTCTAGTTCAGTTCTAGTTCAGTTCTAGTTCAGTTCTAGTTCAGTTCTAGTTCAGTTCTAGTTCAGTTCTAGTTCAGTTCTAGTTCAGTTCTAGTTCAGTTCTAGTTCAGTTCTAGTTCAGTTCTAGTTCAGTTCTAGTTCAGTTCTAGTTCAGTTCTAGTTCAGTTCTAGTTCAGTTCTAGTTCAGTTCTAGTTCAGTTCTAGTTCAGTTCTAGTTCAGTTCTAGTTCAGTTCTAGTTCAGTTCTAGTTCAGTTCTAGTTCAGTTCTAGTTCAGTTCTAGTTCAGTTCTAGTTCAGTTCTAGTTTAGTTCTAGTTTAGTTCTAGTTCAGTTCTAGTTCAGTTCTAGTTCAGTTCTAGTTCAGTTCTAGTTCAGTTCTAGTTCAGTTCTAGTTCAGTTCTAGTTCAGTTCTAGTTCAGTTTCGTTCAGTTCTAGTTCAGTTCTAGTTCAGTTCTAGTTCAGTTCTAGTTCAGTTCTAGTTCAGTTCTAGTTCAGTTCTAGTTCAGTTCTAGTTCAGTTCTAGTTCAGTTCTAGTTCAGTTCTAGTTCAGTTCTAGTTCAGTTCTAGTTCAGTTCTAGTTCAGTTCTAGTTCAGTTCTAGTTCAGTTCTAGTTCAGTTCTAGTTCAGTTCTAGTTCAGTTCTAGTTCAGTTCTAGTTCAGTTCTAGTTCAGTTCTAGTTCAGTTCTAGTTCAGTTCTAGTTCAGTTCTAGTTTAGTTCTAGTTTAGTTCTAGTTCAGTTATAGTTCAGTTATAGTTCAGTTCTAGTTCAGTTCTAGTTCAGTTCTAGTTCAGTTCTAGTTTAGTTCTAGTTTAGTTCTAGTTCAGTTATAGTTCAGTTATAGTTCAGTTCTAGTTCAGTTCTAGTTCAGTTCTAGTTCAGTTCTAGTTCAGTTCTAGTTCAGTTCTAGTTCAGTTCTAGTTTAGTTCTAGTTAGTTCTAGTTCAGTTATAGTTCAGTTATAGTTCAGTTCTAGTTCAGTTCTAGTTCAGTTCTAGTTTAGTTCTAGTTTAGTTCTAGTTCAGTTATAGTTCAGTTATAGTTCAGTTCTAGTTCAGTTCTAGTTCAGTTCTAGTTTAGTTCTAGTTTAGTTCTAGTTCAGTTATAGTTCAGTTATAGTTCAGTTCTAGTTCAGTTCTAGTTCAGTTCTAGTTCAGTTCTAGTTCAGTTCTAGTTCAGTTCTAGTTAAGTTCTAGTTTAGTTCTAGTTTAGTTCTAGTTCAGTTATAGTTCAGTTATAGTTCAGTTCTAGTTCAGTTCTAGTTCAGTTCTAGTTCAGTTCTAGTTTAGTTCTAGTTTAGTTCTAGTTCAGTTATAGTTCAGTTATAGTTCAGTTCTAGTTCAGTTCTAGTTCAGTTCTAGTTCAGTTCTAGTTCAGTTCTAGTTCAGTTCTATTTCAGTTCTAGTTCAGTTCTAGTTCAGTTCTAGTTCAGTTCTAGTTCAGTTCTAGTTCAGTTCTAGTTCAGTTCTAGTTCAGTTCTAGTTCAGTTCTAGTTCAGTTCTAGTTCAGTTCTAGTTCAGTTCTAGTTTAGTTCTAGTTCAGTTCTAGTTCAGTTATAGTGCAGTTCTAGTTTAGTTCTAGTTCAGTTCTAGTTCAGTTCTACTTCAATTTTAGTTCAGTTCTAATAATGATTTCATTGTGAAATAATTATATCAGTTCTCATTTCAAGATCATAATTTGAATTTATTAAAACTAATTTAAATAAAAATTCTTTATGATTTCCTTAAACAAACAAAGAGAAGATCAACTATGACTTACAATGCCTAGTATATCCGGCTCAAAAACAATAACTTCTGAAAAATCTTCTACAATTTATTTAAAGAATTCTAATACTAAACTAAACATTCTTTTAGAATTTTAATAACATGAAAAAGAAAAAAAGCAGGAAGTTGTTTTTTTTTAAATAATGAGTAGAACAAATTTCTCTGCAAGATTTAGAGAAAAAAATTCTAACAACTGAACAGAACAACACCTGATATAATCACAAACAAGGCATGAATCATTTCAATGAAAACTAAATCAGAAATTTCTAATAAAAAAAGAACACAATTGCAAAAGAAAGACAAAAAGAACATTCTAAAAACGATTAAAACATTTCAAAACTGGTGTAAATACAACAGTGCATAATAAAAATGGCAAAATGACTATAAAAACAAATGATAAAATAGAGAAATAAGAACAAAATAATAAAATAAATTATTAACATTTACAAGATCCAAGTTACAAAAAAAAATGAGGATTATGTTGGTCTGAAAAAGTGTAATAGTAACGAGAAGAATAAGAACCTGATGGTTGTTAGATGCATGATGAACTTTTCTAGATAAAGGTGAGAAATTTACAGAAGCAACAATAGCTCACGTACAGAGATTAACAGATATTACAAAAAAAAAACAAATTTATAAAACAATGTTTCACTCGTTTTGTTTTCTGTAAGAATTATTCTCAAGTTTGAGACTCACTCTTTGTTTCGATTTTACTTAGAGCTTAAGCGCTCTATTCTATACAACTTTACAAAAAAGTGGCACTTGAAGTTCTTCTAAGGAAATGATTAAATATCTTTAGACATTTATGGTTTGTTATGACGACAACAACGACACCGATGTTCTTTTGGATTTTTTACATTTGTTGGATATACGTTTTTATTCTTCAAATACAAACAACTTTATATGTTTGTTAGCCAAGTTTAAAACAAATAAAACATCTAAAATATTGGCCATTAAAGAATCTGTTAAAGGAGTATGAGAATTTTACACATTGAATTTTTCTACCATAAAAATATCGTCAAGTTGTATGTTTCTAGTTCAAGAAACAAAGTTATTATTTGTTTGCTAAACTGTGGGATAACAAAACGATTAACACACGAGTGAAAAAGATTAGATCTAGGTACATAGTAGAACTAGAACTGACCTAGAACTAAACTGTCCAGACTATAGTCTATAGTCCAGACTATAGACTATAGTCCAGACTATAGTCTCTAGTTCAGACTATAGACTATAGTCCAGACTATAGTCTATAGTTCAGACTATAGTCTATAGTTCAGACTATAGTCTATAGTCCAGACTATAGTCTATAGTCCAGACTATAGTCTATAGTCCAGACTATAGTCTATAGTCCAGACTATAGTCTATAGTCCAGACTATAGTCTATTGTCCAGACTATAGTCTATAGTCCAGACTATAAACTATAGTCCAGACTATAGTCTATAGTCCAGACTATAGTCTATAGTCCAGACTATAGTCTATAGTCCAGACTATAGTCTATAGTCCAGACTATAGTCTATAGTCCAGACTATAGTCTATAGTCCAGACTATAGTCTATAGTCCAGACTATAGTCTATTGTCCAGACTATAGTCTATAGTCCAGACTATAGTCTATAGTCCAGACTATAGTCTATAGCCCAGACTATAGTCTATAGTCCATAGTACAGACTATAGTCTATAGTACAGACTATAGTCTATAGTACAGACTATAGTCTATAGTACAGACTATAGTCTATAGTACAGACTATAGTCTATAGTACAGACTATAGTCTATAGTACAGACTATAGTCTATAGTACAGACTATAGTCTATAGTACAGACTATAGTCTATAGTACAGACTATAGTCTATAGTACAGACTATAGTCTATAGTACAGACTATAGTCTATAGTACAGACTATAGTCTATAGTACAGACTATAGTCTATAGTACAGACTATAGTCTATAGTACAGACTATAGTCTATAGTACAGACTATAGTCTATAGTACAGACTATAGTCTATAGTACAGACTATAGTCTATAGTACAGACTATAGTCTATAGTACAGACTATAGTCTATAGTACAGACT